ATGGAGAAAATTATACGGTTAAGTTGGCTGGCTGAAAAGTGACAACGAAAAACTCTTGTCCGGGTAATTTTGCTCATATTTCCTAGAAAGCTTTGGTCTAGCTTCAGGTCTACAAGTGCGCAATTTTCATTTTTGAAAGAACTTTATAGACAACTCAAAAAGACCTACGCGTTTCTGATCGACGAAATGAGCGCCATCGATTTCACCCGGTACAACCACGTCGGCTACACGAGTCGAGACAATGCGCTCGCTGCTACGTGTCAAATATGGTTTGCCCAGTTTCGTTTTGGAGACAAATCTTTGAAAGATGCAGAGGGCTGTAGAGTTGCACTCGAACTGGATGACTCCAAATTACTTGAACTTATTACCAACGACCATCGGATGTCATCGCGTGAATTGGGATAAGTGTTAGGGGTCAATCCTGCTACAGTGCTAAGAGACCTTCGTATCCTTGAATTTAAATCGAAACTTGGGGCTTGGGTGCCTCATGACCTCACTGACCCCCAGAAGAGGCAGCGTCAGTGTCGATCAGTGTCGCCCATCTCTCACGATACGAAAGGAAATCTTTTCCTTCTCGAATTCTTTCTTTCAGGAATTCTTTCTTTCTGGAATACTTTCTTTCTGGAATTCTTTCTCGAATTCTTTCTTTCTCAATTCTTTCTCGAATTCTTTCTTTTTCTACTACAAAAGAGGAATCCGCAAATTGCCTTAAAATGGGCAAAAGTCTTGGAAATTATTTGGAATCAATTTATGATTTTATGTTGAATAAATTTGAGTTCAAAGTTCCACAGTTTTCAATTCACCAACCCAATTGCTAGATTCGCCAAAAATTTCGATCGCTTGGACGAACGAGGGCCATGAAGGAGAGAAGGGTTTCCGCGTCTCCGATCATCACTACGAGAAATTTCTTCGGGATAATAGAGAAAAAGTTGGACTTTGGCAAAAGCCTTAATGTACCTATTTCAGCTAAAAGATGCCTTTCTCATTGTGATGGGCGACCATGGACAGAAAGGAAGCAAGGTTTGAAAAATATCGATGACCAAAAACGCTTTCTCGAATAGATAGGCGACACCGAGCAAGGACAAGTCGAAAATCTCACGCCACTGATGCTTTTCTCAATCCCACAAAAACTTCGGTAAAATGCATTTTTTGCATCTTTTGTTTGTGCATCTAGCCATTTAGCAACCTTAGATTCTACAGAACGTTCCGGCTAGCGGTTGAAATTCGGTAATTTGCTTTTTATCGTATACAGTCGTCAAAAAAAAGTCTTGGCCGGTCAATGTTCACTTCAAAAATAGTAGCGCTCACAAAAGAGATCACATCCAAATATATTGACCACAAATGTTAGATTGGCAACTGGAAAGTTGGTACACTTATTCATTGCATTTTTTGAAATAACTAGTGCAATTAATCTACAGTTTTTATCAACAAAAAAGTCTATTTATTCTCTAAAAAATTCTAATATTTTTAATTTTTTTTTTAATTAAAAAAACACTCTCAATTTTTTTTTTTTTTTTTTTAAAAAAAACATCCCTCCCCCCCCCCCCTCTAAAAAATTTTTTTTTTTCCCTCCTTTTTTGTAAAAAATATATATATATATAAAACAGGCTTCTGACAGATTTAGAAAAGCTTTGGCTTTGTAGGTTTCTAGGGGCAACAAGTTGAGGAACCAAAAATGATGAACACTCGATGAAGCGATTGGAGCATTTTCTTCCAAAGAAACCCATTTCGGTGTCAATATAAAAAGAGCATAAAAAGCTAAATCTTATTTGGCTAAAGTACTATGGGATACCATTATTCATTTCACTTTTTAGAAATAATTAGTGCAATTAATCTACAGTTTTCACCAATAAAAAGTCTATTTATTCTGTAAAAGAGGCTTTTGACAGAAATTTAGAAAACCTTCGGTTTTGTAGATTTCTAGGGGGCAACAAATTGTGCAACCAAAAATGATGAACACTCGATGAAGCGATTTGAGCATTTTCTTCCAAAGAAACCCACTTTGGTATCAATATAAAAACGATAGAGCATAAAAAGTTAGGCATGTAGCCAAATTTTCAGCTAGATCTAATCAATTTACAACAACAAATTGAGGAACCAAAAATGATGAACACTCGATGAAGCGATTGGAGCTTTTTCATCCAAATAAACCTATTTTAATGCCAAAAAAAGAGTGCATAACAAGTTAGGTAAATAGCCAAAAAAAGCCTAAGAATATCATCTTAAAGCTCTCACAAAATACTACAAAAAACTAATTGGGATCGGCTTATTTGAATGCGATCTAACGGGAGAAAAATGAGAAAACATTGACCGGTCAAGACTTTTTCGACTTTTTTCGAAGTCGGTAAGCGGACATTTCTTGTAAAAGATAGAAATTATTCATAATTGACATGTTTGCCGGCAAAAGAAAGTCAAAGACAATGATAAAAAAAGCAAAAAAGCTGGGTGCTAAAGTGATTTTTTGGAAAAATTTAAAGCTTTTCTTTTTTCTTATTTTCTATGCAGATTTGATGTTAATACACGTTTTAGCGTTCAGAAATGAAATATTTTTCTAATTAACATCATTTGTCAAAGTTCTAAAAACTTGACTATTGCAAAAATTATGGGTACGTCTATGCTTCTGTGGAGCACTATGAAAATATGGAAAGCAAAAGGCGCGCTCGCTTTATGGCCACAAACGTGGGCCACAATGTTCAAAAGTTAGTCAGTCTTTCGGTTGCACAAACAGCACGAAATAGAAAAAGGGTACTGTATTTTTTGACCCCCTTTCAAATGGGTCTTCTATTAGAGTGTTTACGGTACCCCTTATCCAGAAATACACCGCTCGAGGCGATGATCCGGAAAAACGCCGATCAAGTGTTCACGCCGCACGATCTTCACGCCACTCTCATCGATATTGTTCGGGTAATGCAACTCGTTTGTTTTCTGTTATAGTTTTAAAGAAAGCAAAAAGATCTTCAGATCGTGCTTTTTAGCTACTCAGAAATTCTGAACACCAGGCCGCTTGCAATTAATTTATTCTAGAATCAAGCCCAATTTGGCTTTCGAGACACAAATTACTTGCGAATCAATGGTGAGCCTCGTTGTTTTGTGAGTGAGAGAGCTACAACTAAAAATTGATTATTTCAATATACATAATAACGTATAAATAGGTATAGAATATTTAAAAACTTCAATAGACGGGCTCCCTACCCCTTACCAGTCTAATTTGTGTCAAAGTTTTTCAAAAATGTCTTAGCTATTGTTTTTTTTCTGTTTTAAATAAATATAGGGATTTTTACGTATAGAAAAGGCAATAAAAATAGCTAAAATGTGCAAAGTTAAAGGACAGAGTGTCTGATGCAAAAGTTCTGCTATGTACAGTTTATTCTACGTACAGTTTATTCTACGCACAGTTTATTCTATGTACAGTTTATCCTACGTACAGTTTATCCTACGTACAGTTTATCCTACGTACAGTTTATCCTACGTACAGTTTATCCTACGTACAGTTTATCCTACGTACAGTTTATTCTACGTACAGTTTACGCCACTATTCAAAATTTAGACAAAATTCATTCAAAAAAAGTTTAAGCTTTTAACTGACCGCCATCGAAGGAAACGGGCTGGGCCTGAAAAGAAACTACATTCTAAAAGTCGATTTGCTCAATGGCTAGACCCTATGTACCGGTAATGACTTAGGAACAGAGCAGATAACAGCTCTCATATTTACAAGGGAAGATCAACTGGCTGAGACGGCCAAATGACATGCAACCTGTACCATTCGAAGCAGAATTTCACGCTGATTCAGAATCTGCTTTCCGTTTTACATACTAGACCACAGCCTACTAGAAACGAGGCCGCGCAAAAGGTTTTTACAAGGTAAAGTCGGCTGGCTAAGGCGGTCAAATACTATGTGAGTAATATCATTCGACGCAGAATTTTATGCTGATTTCGAATCTGCTTTCCGTTTTTGCTGAACGCTAAAGTGGAAAAAGTTATAAACGTTTAAAGTTTTGTTAGGACTTTGAAAATCTGGGTTTTTCGGTCTTAGGGGCCTTCTGCGCGGCCTCGTTTCTAGTAGGCTGTGGTCTAGTTCTAGGCTGTGGTCTAGTTCTAGGCTGTGGTCTAGCTCTAGGCTGTGGTCTAGTTCTAGGCTGTGGTCTAGCTCTAGGCTGTGGTCTAGTTCTATGCTGTGGTCTAGTTCTAGGCTGTGGTCTAGTTCTATGCTGTGGTCTAGTTCTATGCTGTGGTCTAGTTCTAGGCTGTGGTCTAGTCTTAAAATTGTCTATGACAGGCTTTATTGAGTTTGAAATCATCAGCGTCTTGCAAGAGTGCATGTTGGTTATTTTGTATTTTCAAATATTTTGTCGACTAGCTCAAGTTTCCTTTGATGATATTCGTTGTGAGTTCAGAGAAAATTGATCAGAAATTTGTCCTCATTTGAAAGAGGTGACTCAAGTCTATCAAATGAGCTCAAATATTCTAATTTTATTTACAGACTTCAACTGATTATTGAAAGAATAGATATGAGTAGGCAACTGTACGATCAAAAGTTCAAAAGTCAATCTACTCACACAAGTTGGCCAAGCGAAAAAATAAACAAAGTGCAGAGAGAAAAAAGAAAAGTGGTAAAGGGCTTTTTGACCCTTTTTCCTTCGCAAACAACTTCGGCACATCAAAAATAAACTAGAGTTTTCCCTCTCTATTCCACCAGAAATTGTCATGATTTTTTGAGGAAAATTCCATTGATTTATGCCCTTCTCTTTATCTTTTCGCTTCTTGTGCTTTCTAGTTTAGAGTTTTTTTTTCTTTTCATTTTCTTGAAATTTGAAACCCTCCGTTATCTTGAAATTTCTGGACCAAATTCAACCAAAAGGTCCGAAATGAAAAACATTTTTTTCGAAATTTTTTGAACCTTATTTTCTTAGTTTTTCATTGCAACAGTTTTTGGTCTGCCTTTTCAAAAACTTTTAAATGTTTTTAGTTTTTAGTTATCACCAGTTTTTTCTCGTTTAGTCATGGGTTTGTTGGTGGAAGGACGGTGGACAGACGACAAAGATGCCCCAAAAGGAATCAAAATGACAGTTTGTTGTTTAAAAGATTTTAAAAAGAGAAAAAACCCGACTTGAAAAACAAAAAGGAAAAAAACCGAACCGTTCAGCCATTCAACAACTGGGTGACCGTCGATGGACAACCCGGGCCAACGGGAGAAGGAGGATTCGTCGCTGAAAAAGATCGGTCTGTTTTAATCTAAAATCCTTTAATCTAAAATCCTTTAATCTAAAATCCTTTAATCAGAAATCAAGTAATAAAGTGCGATAAAAAAAACGAAAAACTACCAAAAAAAAAAAAAAAAAAAAAAAAAAAAAAAACCCCCCCCCCCCCCCCAACACCCACCCCCCCCCCCCCAAAAAAAAAACCCCCCCCCCCCCCTCCCCCCCCTCATCCAAATCATATTATTTTTTTTTTTTTTTTTTTGCCCCCCCTCCCCTTTTCCCCCCCCCCCCCCCCCCCCCCCCCCTCCCCTTTTAAAAAAAAAAAAAAAAAAAAAAAAAAAAAAAAAAAAAAAAAAAAAAAAAAAAAAAAAAAACCTTTTCTGATGTCAATTGTTAGTTTTTCATTAGAATTTCTCTAAATCTTTTCTTGTTTTTTGAATTTCTTGTCACTTTCGTTATTTAGAAATTCTCCAAAGTTCGCGGAATTTCTCTTCTCTTTCAAGATCATATGCAAACATCAACATAAATTCTTTTCTCCATTCTATTTCTTAAATCGCGCCTCTTTATGATTTTTTTATCTCTAACTCCTTGTTCTCTAAACGACTAGACCTGTATATATGTCATAGCCGATCTGCTATTTCAGCCGATCTGCTATTTCAGCCGATCTGCTATTTCAGCCGATCTGCTACTTCAGCTGATCTGCTATTTTAGCCGACTTGCTATCAAAACTTTTCGCTAGCCGATTTACTATTGCGGCTAGCCGCAACGATACCCCTTTAACGTCCAGGAGGTATTTTGAGGACCAGAATACCCCTTTAACGCACTCGCGACCAAAACCTCTTGGGCGTACAGTCGTGTAGTCCTAGCTATTTGTTCCCCAATCAATTAAAAGTTTACAGATAAAATTAGACTATTTGAGCTCTTTGACAGCTTTGAGTCTCCTCTTTTAAATGAATGCAAACTTCGGAGCAATCTCTGTTGAACCCATAGCAAAAATCATGGAAAACAGAATATTCGTTATTGGAACGATCCGCCGGTGGCTTGTTAAAGCTACTTTCGATTTATTCATTCAGATATCATCTGTATGTCTCGTACGGATGCCCTTACGCTCATCGCACGCTGATTCTATTGAAGCTAAAGGTGATAAAATGAAATTAACGCAAATATTGGGTTCTTGCAGTGAAAATGGGATACTTTTCAAATCTACATTTATTCAATAAGAAATCGGAAAATTATTCCAAATAATTTCCATTATTATTAACAACTTGTGTCCATTTTACAGTCAATTTACGAATTCCTTTTTCTTCGTAAAATTTTATTTTCTATGAGAGACAAGTGTGAGACTCAAAAATCGAGGACTGAAGATGCCACAGTTTGAGCACTTTCTTCAAAAGAAACCCATTTTGATGTCAATGGAAAAGTTGTAGAGAATCAAAAATTAGGCTTATAGCCAAATTTCCAAAAAGAAACACTTAGTAGTTTCGCTTAAAATGCAAGTTTTGTGAAAATTCGTAAATTTGGCATTTCTTGAAAACCCGTTTTTGAATCGTTCTGGAAATTTGGCTATAAGCCTAATTTTTGATTCTCTACAACTTTTCCATTGACACCAAAAAGGGTTTCTTTTGAAGAAAGTACTCAAACTGTGGCATGTTGCGAAATAGCGTCCCATTTTCAATGCAAAGACCCAATTGCAACGGGTTCAGGGACTCGAGGACCTTTTGAGCGTGTCAGTGGTCAGTCCGATGATGCTTGAGAATGGATGGACATTTGATGAGACTTATCCAGGTGTGATATAAGCTCTTTCCCCAAAAAGAAACTTGGCTTTATCCCGATAACGGCCCTCTTTCAAAAAATGATTAACTTTCAACTGAAAAAAAATCAACTTTTAATTGTTCAATTGGGCAACTTTTTGTACCAATAGATTGTGCTTGAATTCGGCTATTAAATCAAATAAAAAGCTTCGTTGGACAAGAGTAGTTGAGATTTTTGAGTTGAAATCGCGCGAAAAAGTGATTTCGATAGGTTTTTAATGGGAAATGTGTCGTTTTGAACGGGCGTAACTCGGATTTTTGAAGTTGACACACTATAGTATGGACTTTCTACCGTAACCAAACAACAAAAAACGGAAAGTCTATAAAGAGGAGCCACTTTTTGACTAGAGAAATACACTTTTCTTCTCCTTTGTTGAAATTTTCCTCTTTCTTGTTTGACTTTTCTTACTCCTACGTGGTATTCCTGAACAAAAAAACCCAAATTAATTAAACTCATAGAAAAATTTTAAAAAAGGAAAAGAAAAGTGTATTTCTCTAGTCAAAAAGTGGCTCCTTTTTGTAGTTTTTCCGTTTTTTGTTGTTTGATTACGGTAGAAAGTCCATACTATAATGTGTCAACTTCAAAAATTCGAGTTGCACCCGTTCAAAACGCTACCAGTTTGTGCAAACTTGATCAATCTCTATAATTTTTGCACAAAAAACATTCTCAAGATATATGCAAATAAAACTTGTTGCTTTGTTTTGCATTTTTCTCCTGATAATAGCAATTTATAGCGCTCGAAACCCAAAATATTGGGTTGTCCAGTTATGAATGCGCGTTTTTTACTATTTTGCAAATTTCTCAAGATATCGAACAGATGTATTTGAGTGTTATATATCATTCGAAAGCTGAAGATCTCCTCTACATTTTGATATAAAAAGCTTTTGAATTTGTTCAGCTTTTGGGCAAATTGGCTGCACAGAAGAAGAGGTGGCCAAAAAATGGAAGGGTGCCTTTGGATCAAGTTTTGACTCCGCTCAAATTGAGTTAACCGTTTGATGTTTGGCCAATAGATATATCAATACAAGCTTTTTTAAAATATAACAATTTCGGAGCATCTTTACTTTTCTTTTCTTTTCTGGGCGGTTATTTTACACCATAAAACTTGAGGAATAGCTCAGCTGGAATGGGGTTTTTTCGAAAACGACCTCTTCTTCTGTGCAGTCAATTTGCCCAAAAGCTGAACAAATTCAAAAGCTTTTTATATCAAAATGTAGAGGAGATCTTCAGCTTTCGAATGATATATAACACTCAAATACATCTGTTCGATATCTTGAGAAATTTGAGAAAAAGAAAACGCGCATTCATAACTGGACAACCCAATAGATCATTATTACATGGGAAAAGCAAAAAACTGAATTTTTTAAAGATGGAGTCAAACGGATTTCAAAAAAAATTTTCGTATTTGAAATCAGGGTGCTTTTTTTACGTCGACTGATATCTTTTTTTGTTAAAAATCTATAAAAATCACTTTTTCATTAATGTATCACGCGGATCTAGGTGGCGTTATCATAGAGCCAAAAAATTTACATTTGTTGCTCCGTTTCTGACTTTCATTTACTGCCAACATTTCAGATGCAACCGTCGACCACCTCTACGGCTTTCAGTTCCTATACCAAGTCTACTTAAAGGTTTTTGATTTCAAAATAATAATAAATCACATCTATGTTCACAGTCCGATCCAAAATGCACGACCCGGGTCTCGGTGCCGGTGCTTTGGGACAAGAAACAGCACAAATTGGTGAGCACCGAGAGTGCCGACATCATTCGAATGTGAGAATGTGAATCGTTAATCCAATTATCTTCATGAAATAGGTTTCAAATTCGAAAATTTCAGGCTCAATTCGGCTTTCGATGGGCTTGGCGCAAATACAGGGGATTTCTACCCAAAAGAATTGCATACAAAGATCGATGAAGTGAACGAATGGGTCAATGATACTGTCGTCACCGGTAGGTTGTTTCTCCAAGCCAAAAAGCCATGGAGCTAAGAGCAAGCCAAAAGCAAGCCAAGCCGAAGCAATGACCTTCTCTTGGTTTTGGCCTGGGTTTTTGGGGCGGGCCAATGAAAAGCAATGGAGCTAAGTTTTGTTTGTAATCAAAGAACGTCAATTCACAGGCGTCTACAAAGCCGGATATGCGCTGACTCAAGAGGGATACGACTTGGCTGTGGGAAAACTCTTCGACTCGCTGGAACGCTTAGAGAAAATTCTCGGTTGGCATTAGAAAAACATAGCAAACATCTTTTTTCCCATGCAAATTAACTTTTTGGTAGGATTGGTAGGATGTTGTTATCTTGAAGAATCTGAATACATAACAAAGTGCTTTTTTCTCAGAGAACCAGCGCTATCTGGCGGGGGAGAGTCTTTCCGACGCGGACATCCGTTTGTGGGTGACACTGGTGAGTAGAAAAAAAGGAATCCCGGGGAAAACAGAGAAAATCAATAGATTCGATTCGATGCTGTCTACTCGATCTATTTAAAATGCAGCAAGAAACGCATCTTGGACTACCCGAATCTTCACGGTTATCTCAGGTGAGTGACCAGGAGATCGGCGAGTACAACAGGGGGACGAATAATAAAATTTTGATAATTTATTGATTAAAGTTGGGTTTTTTGCTTTAATTTCAACGGAGATCGCACTGTTGGACTACCGTATTTCCTCTAAATGACATTATTTTTTCAAAGACCTCAAAAGGGTGGGACAATATTAGAGGTGGGGCACTAGTAGAGGTAGGCCATCTGAAATGGCGAGTCTGGGCTTCGACCACTGGTCTGACTAAGACTGCTGGTCTGATTGGTTAGCCCAGATTTGTCCAGAATGGTTAATGTTCTGGGCTCAGACTGGGTCATCTAAAAGATAAGTCTAGGTGCAGACTGCAGATTGATTAAAGTTGTTTTTTACTTCAATTTCAATAGAAATCGCACTGTTGGACTACGGTATTTCCTCTAAATGACATTATTTTTTCAAAGACCTCAAAAGGGTGGGACAATATTAGAGGTCTGAATTTAAACTGTTAGGGGTGGGACACAAATAAAGATGGGGCATTATTAAAGGAAATACAGTATATTCTAGGGATATTTACCAACATCCGGGCATCGCTGAGACGACAAATTTCAATCACATCAAGGCTCTCTACTTCCGCTGTGGCAAAACGTTGAATCCGTCGGGTAGGAGTTCACTCATCGAAAAACATTTTGCTTAGAACGCAATCATTTGGTTCATAACTTTTATTTCTAAAAATGAGAAAATGTTTAGGCAAAAAGTAAAGTAAAGCACCGTATTTATTCTAATTGAAGCTCAGTCTCTAATACCAGGTGTCCCAAAATTATCCGGACAAAGTGTTTTGAATGTAACTTCTCACATCGTTAAACAATTTTCCTACTTTCTTTAATTCTCTAAATAATTATAGTAGTCTTAAAGTCAAAAACTAACAGAAACTTAAGCTTATTTTTCAGTTACGAGAGTATCTAAAAAGTTTTTAATTCAAAGCTTGGTGATCGTCTAATCGACGTCTAAAACTATATTCCAGTTCCGAAAGGGAACAGCTCACTACTTGTTTCACCTCATTTACTTTTAAATCGCTCAGTCGTTCAAGAAAAATCAAACTTAACTGATTTAACAAACTTTCAGCTGTAAATTTTAGCCATAAAAAGGCTGCGCGCCGAGGGCGCCAAGATTGCTTGCTTTGGGGATTTGAAGCTGCATTGGAAGGCCCCTCTCGACTTTCTGATCAAAAGAAATTAGTTTATTGTTGAAAATGTTGCAAATTTTGTGAAAAAAAGAAGAAAGTAGGGATTGTTCAACTGCACGGAGAGTTGCACCCAAAAAACTTTGCCCGGATAATTTTGGAACACCCTGTAGAAGCCACAAATTTTAAAAAGCATCACTTTGCTACCGTACACCATTTCATTTATTTTTCTTGCAAAGCGCCTCTAGAATCCTCATTATTTTTACGTTTATTAAACTTTTTTCTGCTTTCTTTGTTTTTTTTATAAAATTGCTAATATGTTTATTTTTGGGTGTGATGGCTGAGCGACCAACAATTTGTTTGGATTCTCTCGAAGAATATCGAGCTCTACAAGAACACACCGAACACGAGGATTTCTTCAGGGAACAACAGAAAGCAAGTGAATTGATGAATAGAAAGCCGGAGCCGGAAAACGATTACTCAAATTCTCTCGATGACGCAAATGAATTGATGAAAAGCTCATTGTTGTTCGATGAACCGGAAATGAGAAGACGAAGATCTCAGTGGTGCTGACGGCTTGAGTATATAGCCTCAAATGCAAGCCTTTTGTTCTTTTACCAAGGAAACGAGTCGACCCGGCCATTCAACAGCGATTTGGTAGCAAGTTGAATCTTCTATGGGAAGGATGAATGAGGATTTAACGGCTGTTTTTCTCAAGAGGTCATTCCAGAAGGAGCTGTCAAATTGTGTCAGGCTTAGAACGAGGCGAAGATCGCTCACTTGTTGAAGGAAATCGATCTTGGCGAAGATGAGGAGATCAAGTGCGACGACAGTGATGTCTCTATTGAAGTAGGCAATGTTAACGAAAATGATGTCGATAATAATGATTTAAATGATATGTTTGCTTAAAAATGTTTTTCACTCTGTTAATTGATTGTTGCCTATTTTTAAATGTTGTTTTACTTGAATGAATAAATCATAAATTGTTATTATTTGTAAGTGATAACTTCTAGTAAGCTATTTGATCAATTTTGTTGGAAAGGTTGGAAAATAGAAGCAATTTTAGGAAGGGGGTTGAAAAATTGAAGCACATGTGCTTCTTATTAGAAGAAATTCGTTAACTTTAGGCATCGTTCCAATAGGACCCGATATGCGACTCGATGTGCCACACGGAAGAAATAAGTAGATTTTTGGTACTTAACGCTGAATAAATCTCTCATTTTGCACTATAATTCAGGAAAAACACATTCGAATCTCAAATTATAACGTAATGTTCAAAGTTTCTAATAAAATTTAATGCAACGTCCTAGATGCTATGAAATTTGTTTAGTTTTATCTGTTTCTGAGCGGAAAGCAAGAAAAAATACTTTTTATTGCTCTCGAAAAATCTCCATTTTATTTGGGGGCATTTCGCGAGGCACCAATCGAGAAAACCGATGGCTGTTTTCAGGGCAAAAGCGGCAAATTCTGGATTCTTTTCAAGTTGCTCGGTCAACTCGGTGCAAGCATCATCTGGTTTTAGAATCTTCTGTGACTCTGTGCTTTGATGGAGAAAGTTTTATTATGGCCAAAGATTTTTGGAAATGAATTCATTATTAGTGACACTGCATAGGCATTTTGAAAGAAGATTTTGAAAGACTTTTGAAAAACGTTTTTTTCGCATAAGACTTTCGAAAGGGAAAGTATAAACGTTTGAAGCCAGGAACTTTATATATCTAGCTGAATTTATAGCAGGCTCAGGACCACATTCTGTTTGTTGATTGGTCTCAATTTCTATGAAATTCGGTTTCAAAACCTCAAAAATGTGAACTAACTTTTCACATCTATTGTCCAATCAGGCTGTTTTTGGTAACACTAGGTTGTACTTGATGTTATCTATCAATTGAAACTGATTTGAAACAATTTCCTAAATTTGTAGCTTTTAGACTTGCCATAGATTTACTCAAATTCTAAATGAAAAAGATTCCAAATGGTGCTCACCTAAATTCTCTTTTACTCGAAATAACGATAAAATGATTACTCTCGATACAATGATTTACTCGATATAACAATTCAAAATCTCGATCCTAGCCAAGCTTTTAATAAAATCTTAAGGGTACTTCTTAAAGGGGAGATGCGGATCGAGACCAATTTTCAACAAAATCTTTTTTCCCTAAATTTGACTATGTTTTGATTTAACAAAAACAATTTTCATGCCTGTTAGGGTAATTTTTAAGGTTCAATTTTTTTGAAAACATCGTTTCAGCACAGGTTTTCATACAAAAACCCTCTTTTTCTTTAAGTCTAACAGATCTGACTCTGATAGAAGAAGAGCTCTTCTTCGTTCTCCCGTCTCTAAACCTAAAATTTTTTAAAATTTCTTTCTACAAAAAAGTATTAGGCTTTGGAGTTCCCTTTCCGACCATGTTCAAAAAATGAAGTCCCTCTTTTCCTTCAAACAGTAACCTTCTTACTCTCACGCTTTAACCTATGCTTTGATCCCTCTTTAAAGTCAGATTCAAAAGTCAGAGTCAAAAAGACGGGCTTACTGTTTGCAAGACGTGATCAATGGGGGTGTTCATTGTTTGTCAATTGAGAAAAAGGATGGCTAGGAGACTCGAACTTACTGTTCTTTGGTTCCTTTGAAAGTGGAAGTCAAATTGTGTAAATAATCGCCTGAAGATAGGGTACTAACTCTCTAGAAAAGACCTATATAAAGCCCGGAAACCCTTCCGCTCTTTAGAAAACTAAAAAAATGTGGGCGATTTCTCTGACTCTTCTCTTCGCTTTATCCGTTCAGTTGGGGACCGCTCAACAGACGGAAAACACAATTACGGTATGATTTTAGTCTTATAATAAGTACAATCCATAAAAATCTGATAAATCCAAACGACTTTTCGATTAAAAAACTTTAGTCATGATTTTTAAGGGCTCAGAGCAATCATTTGCAATCACATTAAATTTGTTTTTGATTTCAAAAAAAGTGACAACAGAGCTAAACAAAGACATTTGTTCAGCCAACAAAATGCGGAAAATCGCAACGTTGTTTCGGTAATAATTTTATAGAGTAGAGCAACACATGGTTGATAGATTTTGACACATTTTTCTAACAAACGAGGGTCAACTGGATAAACTAGCCAAATGACATAAGCCATATAATATTCGATGCAGAATTTTACGCCGAATCTAATGCTGATATGCGTTTTTGCTAAACGCCACTCTGTCAAAAGTTATAAGCGTGCAAAATTTTGCAAGAAGTTTCAAAAATCTAGCATAGACTTTAAAACCGAACTCTTCAGATAAGGCAAAAAGTGCTGTGGTGGCCGAGTGGTAGTGCGTTACTTTTTTTGGGTTTGAATCGCTTATGTGTTCTCCGCTTCAAATTCGCTTTTTTACCCATTTTTTTACAAAAAAAATCCATTGAAAAAAAATAGTTATTTAAATTTAAACCAAAAAGAAAAACAAAACAATCCGTTGACGGATTCGAACCCACGGTTTCTATTCTAACTTGTTACCACTTGACCACCCTTACACTTTTTCGTTGTCTTCGTTGTCGGTTTTAAGGTCCATGCATTTTTGAAACTCGTTACGAAACCTTCAAAGCTTATAATTTTTGACAGAGTGTTCAGCCAGAACGGAAAGGAGCATCGTGTTCGGCGTGAAATTCTGCTTTAAGTTAAGTCAAGAAAATTCAATTTTAGCGATATCAAACAAGATTTTTACAGGATATAAGCTCGGTGTCCTTTTTTGCTTTGCTTTGCTTTTTACAGGATATAAGCTCAAAATCGAGGAAAATACTATATTTTTCAACAGGATAATGCTTCAATTCTTGTCAGCCAATCCACTAAAGCTTTTCTGGAACGTCACAACATCGATTATCTCGAATGACGGCTTCAAAACTAATTTTTTTTTGCAATTTGTTCAAATAACATCGAAAATGGTATATATGCCTATTTTTGTATATATTTCTAGGATTTAAAAGCTATTTCGCGTTATTAAATTTCATAGCCATAAAAATTTAGGGGTGGTCCTATCATCTTGCAACGCACCTTACATCAAGGCCCTGCCCTGGCTATAGTACCATTTTAAGTAGCTTTTAAACTCTTCACTTGAAGTAATTGTTACCATTTCCCCCAGGCTTACGATAGGCACTAACCGATTCCATCTAACCGTCGAAATGTTGAGGATGATCGCTCGAAAAATGTGTCCCGTCCTTTCCAGCATAGAATCCGCGTCGCCGATCTAAAGTAAATGACCTTTTGATTAAAATGCATGATCTAGAATCTGACCTAAAAGCTGGGGTTATGAAAAAGGCACCGTAATCCCTAAGATCTGATGTTCCTGGCATTGTCACTTTTTTCTTATTCTTGATTTCAGAATTTGTGGGATAAAAGATGGCAATTCACCCTTCTTAATTTTACCCTCATCCTTAAGTACGGTATCGTTTTGCCTAAACTCCAACGGTCAACCTGTCTATTATCAGGTGAAAAGTAATTGATGGTAAACGGGAATACAACTAAATTCTTTACAAACTCTATGACACGTTTGGCTTCAACTACCTTCGCTTCTTTGCCAAAAATGTGCCTGTCGAAATTTGAGGTTGTGAGTGCGAGATTTTATTTTTTGATGTTTTATCGTGATATGTGAATACGATTTTGTGCTTCTTTATTTTTCAGTGTTGAAATTTTGCAGCAAATTGTTGTTTTCTGGATGATGTTATACACATTTTGAAAGCTTATTTTGTTTGCAAACGTGTTTAGTTGTATTTTTGAACTAAAAATACAATAATTTATTTAAGTATTCACATAAGCAAAATCGAACCGCAAAAATTACGCTAAAAATGTGAGTTGAGATACATTTTTCAAATCAAAAAAGTAGCACAGAAAAATGTGGTAAAGAGAAAGTTCAATTGGGGTAGTTGAGAGTTTTGGATGCTGTTAATTCTCGATTGTTCCTGTTTCCTTTTGTTGTCCGGTAATTTGAATGGGAATCTCTTGCCCATTCAGTTGTTTCTTCTTTTCAATCAATGGGGCATGGATTGAGAGATTTCCATGTTGATCGAGTGATGATTGAAGTGACGAGAGATCGATTTGATCCACGGGAATTCGAATGGAACGTTGCAAACGGAGGTGGACGGAGCCCTGAAATATGTAGAGTTGAATGGGGTAAAGAAAAGAATGCTTTTCATATAATATCTAAAAAATAACTAGCATCAAATTTTATGGTTAAGCATTAAGATTAAGATTCTTCAATTTGAATTGACTATACTTTGTAATTAACTTTAATTTTTCACCTGTTCATTCTCCTCTTTGTGCTCTCCTTCAATCGACAAAACATCCCCGTCCAATCGCAATTTCAATTCATCGGGTTTATACGAGGAGACGTCGCATTTCACGGAGAAACCCTCATCACTCAACGAAATCTAAAAAGTGAGTTCTGGTATTGAAAAAGTTAAGCTACCTTATAAGCTACTTACGATTTCAAAAGTCTATGACAGAGTTAACAAGCAAATTTGCCTTAAAAACATACCATTTCTTGTTGCTGAAGGTCTCGATGGATTGTAGGTCCATCGAAAGCCCTTTCCAATGAATTGATCGTTTCGAAGATATCATTGAAGGGATGTCGACGGCTGAATGGACGACAGAAATTGTTCGACGGAAAAAGAAGAAGTGACATTTGGAAGTGTGAAGGTAGTTGTTGATAGCAAGATGTGTTGATTTGAGTTGATGACCGCTGGAGTGAATCGTCGGTTTATATAGGATTCGATGGGGCTTCCGGGAGGTTCTCGAAAATTCTGGAAACGGAGTCGACACTTGTTTTCCCCTTCCCCTCTTTTGCCTCTTTCGAAAAGAACCTTTCTCGGAGTCTCTCGAAATCACTCGATATTTCGTCTCTTTCTGGCTCTCTCGCGTCTTTTTTTCTTCTTTTCGTTCTCCTTTTTTAGCTGCTCATCTCTCTTCTCTTTTGGACTATTAGGTATTAAGCAAAAATGTGTGGTAGACCAAAAATAGACCTCAATAAGTGCAACAAAATGACCAAAGTTTGGGCCATTTATGGCGCGACCACAACGCGCCATATGTGGGTCAATCTTTATGATTTCGGTGTAATTTTGTTGCAATTATTCAGATCTATTTTTTGTCTACGACACATTTTCACTTAAAAACAGCAACGTTTTGAATCTTTTGAGTCAATTTTTGCTCCTTT